TAACACACACCTGAGAATACACAAGAAAGCGAAGCACTAAATACATTTAAGCATCGTCCTCTGTGAAAGCAGAACTAAATCTGATGTTTGCGCCTCGCCGTTGCTTTGGGTTTTTCATTACAGACTATAGAGGCGGGTCAGAAAGTGAGTCGTTTTTATTATTCCGTTGGTTATGCCCTCTGGGATCGCTGCAGCCTTTGTTTCACCCACTAAGCAGTACTAAAGTGACCTTTTAAGACACCGTTAAATTTTTAAACACACTCACAGCAGCGTCTCTGATGATATATTCATCGGCTCTGCAGCTCCGGCCGCTGCATCCATATTCATACGGCTGGTTCTGCTTCTCACACGTCTGGCCCGCACACACAAACACAATCACCGGGAGCAACGACAGCCAAACCCGAGCAGCTCCATTGTTTTGGCTCATCTGTTTTCTCGCCTCCCGCTCCGTCTTTCCACTCTCAATCCCTCTTTCCTCGGACAGGGTGAGGCTGCCCTTTCTTCTCGGTCCAGCTGGGGAATGCTAATGGCAACGCGGCGAGGCCAAGACAATTAGCCATACACAAACACACACACACACACACCACGTCAGCAGGCCCCAAAACACGCCGAGTATCAGCGAGCAACAGGAGACAGGCGGCGACACACACACCCAAACACATGTACACAAACAGACAATTGGTGTCGTCCAGCTTTTGTTTGGTGCAGTTCAGTCCAAGAGAGGAAAATAGAAAAAGAGGTGTGAATGAGGAAGACGGGCAGATGGAGACGGAGGGAAAGTTAGCTGATGCAGAGTTGGATGGAGCGACTCCTACAGGTGACCACAGCCACTGAAATGAAAACAGTGATGCATGAAATGTAGGATTTTTCAACACTGTCTACTCTGAAAGCACCTGCATACCTTTTCTCTGCATCAATACTCACTGCAAACAATTCACAACAGCTTGCAGCTTTTTTGAAATCTGAAAAACTCTGTTGTCAACCTGCAGCTAAAATCCCTCAACGAGTTCAAGACTTATAGCCAGTGTGTCTCTTCAGTGATGAAGAAAAGTCTCAGGTCGAACTAATCGATCACTAAAGTGGAAGAGATGCAGCAGGCCCAACGAGACGGGGATCACCCACTGAAACAGGTCAGTAGATGCAAACTGAGACAAAAACAAAAGTCCATTAAATTCAAAGAAATTAACACAAAAGGATAAAGTTATCCACATATATGAAAACGCATGCTCTACACGCCATAAAACCCTGGACTGAACAGGGCACCACAGAGTCCAGCTCTCGTCATAAATTGATGCTTTTCACACCGGTGGACTCGCGCCACTCCAAGCCTGTTTGTCTCTGCAAATTAACTGACACCAGCTTGAGCAGATGCACTGATCTCATCTGAGCTGCCGACTACTTTGCGGTCATTTTTCCGAACTGGCGGAGGCAGCCGTGAGTGGGAACGGCTTCAGGCTTATTTGAATCTGTTTGACGATTTGGCTCACGGTTCTGGAAGGAGAGTGTGATACTGTGAGCTGAGGAGGGAATTTAAGCGGAGCCAGACAAACTCATGACTCCGCATGCAGTTTGAAGTCTGAACGGCAACGCCTGCTTATCTGAGCTCAGCTCTCAGATACCGACGGGATCAAGCACCTTTCTTAAGCTTCAGACTGCACTGCAGAAACATATTCACGACTTCATGCGACTGCGGATAAGAGGGAAAAATAGAAAATCCCATGAAAGCCAGAGTATTCCTTTAGTCTACCGCTCAGTTAAACACTAACAGAAGTCTTGAAGAGCAGCTGCAACTCAGAAGTGAGAACTAAAGGCCTGCAAAGCTGCGAGCGCTCAGCCAGCTCCTTGTGATTGTGCAGCGCTAACAGAGTGGAAGCCCGTTTCCCAGCCCTCCACCGATCAATAGCTCATATGCAGTGTGGCAGTGCCAGCCTCGACGCCTATCTGCGCGGCCCAATGGGCACTATCTGCACCAGCACACTTTAATCAGGCTGAGATATTGGGATCTGTGGCTCGGAGTGAGCTGAGGGGAATGAATGCACGCACACACACACTGCAGCCAATCAATCACTTTAATTGATCAAGTGGATAACAGAGGAAGAATGGGCTCTGAAGCCTCCAGGAGTGGATGCTGCAGTGGAGCGACGGTGTGTTTGTGCGAGATGATGGCCACTGAACTGAGCTGGCAGGGATCCACACACTCTCTATAAGTGAGGCTTTGATGTGCTAACAACAGTCTGATGTCTGAGCTGAGCCGATTCTCAGAGTCACGGTCACTAAAGTTACTCTGGACGCCTGTAATTACCCTTTCTCAATAATCAATCTGTTTCTGAGAGATATTTTTAAAGGGACAATAAACTGAAGGCTCTGATGTAGTCTGAGGTCCAGATAGTTGCTCAACTTATCCGTTAAGATACTTAAAAATACCTCAAGTCCTTCAAACCTCCCATAAAACACACAGCAGGGCCCGTATGTTGTTCTGTATTTTCATTTTCTTTACCTCGAATAACCCGCATTTCAAGCAGAGCTACAGTTGGGTTTTGCCAACAACAACAATCCCCCCAAAAATAATTTAAATTCTCAAGATGTGAGAAAACAGAGGTGCTTTCTAGAAATCCTCCACCTGCACTTCAGCAGAAACGAAGTGACAAATCCATCACTCAGACGCAGAACTGGCTGCTTCACAGCTGGCAGCAGCTGTAAGGGACCATGATGCAACGCAACGCCGGCTCGTTGTTGTTGAGCAGAAATCAGGACACGCTCCACCGTGAGCACCTCCTCCACAGATACAGGCAGAGACGGTCGAGTTTGTGGGTGGAGGAGGAGGTATGAAAGCAAAGGGGGAGCAGAAGTTTAACATCCAACATGTGGACTCTTGTAAATAAAATGAATCGAACAATAATAATAAAGTTGTCAAATATAAGGTCTGCTATGGTCCCAAGCTCTGAGTCTGTCCCAGCTTCATCTAACACTGAATCAGTTCCCACAGCGTGGCCCTGCTGCAGGCTGTCACTTCACCACCACAGGTCTCTGCAGCACCGTGGAGGCTTTACAGTCAACGCGATCGTCTTATTGATCGGCACAAATCTGTGCTCCAACTGATGATGACGGTCAGAAGATGCTGGCACAACGCCTCAAGAGGCTATGATGGCATTCCTGAGACAAAAGTCCACGACTAAAACTTCTTTAATTTTGCTCGAACCACTTATTAGGTCAGAGCAGCCCTTTAAAACAGGGTTCATGTGTAGACGCCTCCGTGGAGGTCAACCAGAGTCTCCATCTCCTCATCAAGGCTTCCACTGAACCCTCACACACCGAACAGAAAGCCCAGCTGTAGAGATGAGTGTTTGAGTTCACGCAGGCTGGAAGCAATACAAAAAGGAGGAACAGAACGTTGTCATTACGCTATTGTGACGACGCATGCTGCCCTAAAACATCGCTGTTTAAACGAGTGGAACCCGTGAGCATCTGCGAGTCTTCTGTGGACATTTGACAGAAAATACAACTCTGTGAATCTGTAATCGATACCAGAGAGCAAGCAGCAGAAAGCAGCCAGATGCTGTCACGACTTCCTCACAGGCTTCGTCACCAAGCTGCAGGACGACCACCTTTAAACATCAACAGCTTAGCTATGAGCAGGACAGTCCACAGATGTGCAGATTTACAGAAAGGCGCCTTCATGCACTCGACAATTTGACGGCCTTAAACTTTCACACACTTGGAGGGACTCTGCCTCAAAGTTCATGAGCGTGGCCAGAGGGAAGATGTTCTGTTATGATTCAGGCTTTATGTTTGGGTTCCTGCAGCAGAACTCATCTGGGACTGCTCAGAGCCCAACCCTGATGATAATGAACCTAGACAGTTACAGTGCTCAGAATGTGTGCACTGAACTAATATGTCGAGTACAAGAAGAGAAAAGGACTCAAATAGAATCCATGTGCAGAACATAAACTACAAGGAGATGCTTGCTTGACAGAAAGTCTAATGGTTCACTGTTTGTGTGCACTGGAAAGAACAGAATCAGTGCTCACACACAGCCCTGGCTGAATGGGGAACACTGGCTCGGACTGATGGAAGTGGGAAGGAAGTGAGGCGCAAGAGGGGCAGTAAATCTGGCCGAGGCTTGTCTTCAACATTCAGTCCTTTGTACAACGTAAACGCTGATAACTATCATCTTGCCACGACCACTGAGAAATGTCACTTTGAATCTTCCCCTGGTGCATTTCATTCAGTTTTCCTCCACTCAAAGCGAAGCCAACAACCCGAGGCGACTGCCCACCTGTCCAGCACAGAGCTCTCAGCTGACGTTAGACAGGAGCCGGAACAGGGCTGCTAAAGATTTTAGTTGCAAACCACAATACACCAAAGTGAAGGCAAACTCATCTGTGTGGGACATTTCAACAAAGCCACTCAGAGCGCTACACCTACGACCACTTTAAAAGGTGTCAGCCTCAAGTCTGACAGTGTGGGCACTGATATGAGCCAAATAAACCACCTGCCATCACGACTGTGTCTGAATGCGTCCTGACAAACTTTTACTGCACTTTTAACTCAAGGTACAGGTATTTATATCACACCAGAGATTAAGGTGGGGCTCCTCCAAACATCAGTCGGTTCCTGCACTCAAGAATCTGCCTTTTAAAGAACATTTCAAACCTGTAGGACACGTGGCACACGACTGACCTCTAGTGGCCGCGCTGCACAATTACAACCCTGCACAATCAGGTGTGAATGATGCTTTTAGCAAAAGCAAGCAACATAAAAATTGCATTTTTTTCTCCATGCATTAGGGAACTTTTGACACCCCCTCCAAAGACATAAATGCATTTTTAAACAGTTCTGTTAACTAGCGCTTCATAAAAGACGTTTTAGTTGATGAAACAGTCTGAAATAAAAAGGAAAAGTCCTCCCAGTTACTGTAAACGGACATGGTCACGCTTCCTGTCGCGCTCAGTCGCCCCCCAAAGGCCAATTCAGAGTCAGGAAAATAAAATAAAGAGTCATTTGAACAGAAAAAGAAAAAAAAACACGTCTTTATTTTAAGAGTACCCATGACAGCCGTTCAAAAGAAGCATCATCCGGTCGTCTTTTATACAAATAATTAGCATTGTGATATTAACATGATAAACACTGTACAACGTATGAAACACACACACATGCATTCCTGCTAACAAGAACTCCTATAAAACCTGTGGGCCGCTGCATAGTTCATTAGTAAAAGTAAGCATTTGCCAACAGACTTTTTAAATTGTGCACTACACACATACACACACATGGACACACAAAGGGGCTTACAAATACTAATGAATTAGGATTTTGTTTTTTTCTTTCAACTTCTTATAAAAACTTATAAAAATAAATGCCAAACGGTGCACAGAAATGTAACACTACAGGATCTGAACAACAACAAATGCCCACATTAAAACTCTTTTCCATCGAACTGGAATAAATGTTTATATATAACGACACGCTAGGCTACACATATAAATATTAAACATATTAACAAATTATGTACAGGTTCGTCGAAGAGAAATTTTAATATTTTCACTCGATTTAGACTTCTCTCTCTCTCTTTTTTGTTTTTTACCATTTTCTGGCGCCGACGCCTCACTGAGCGGTCAAGGCGTTCTCCAGGACGTCGACGTTGACCAGAGGCAGCGACGCGACTTCAAAGAACACCCTGAGAAAGATCAGAGGAGGAATTATTACGGTGAAACACATCGAGTTAGATTATGGGGACGTCCTATACATTCGTACAGCGCTGGACGCCACTAACACTCTGCATAAAGATGTATTACTGGTGATAATTATACTTCACTGTGTGCTGAGGTCAGGAAAGTTCTCCCTCTCCATAAACACATGATGTACGCTTGGAATTTATTGGTTAATTACCCCACTCACATTACCTCATTACTGTCTTTTAATATGCTGGTTTTTTTTATATGCTGCAAGTTTTTCAATCCAGTTTTTCTCACTGTGCACCTATAAACCTATAATCTAAAGCTGGACTCATTTATATACCCTTGAGCAATACAGGTTTTTAATTTGATCATATTTTACCAGCAGCTGCTCTTGTTTTGGCTCATTCATTCCTCCACATTTCTCATTTGCCTTTTATCTTCTTACTTACCTCCATTGCCAACGAGGCCTCCACACCTCAACGTGTAGAGGCGCAAACAAACAGCAAGACTTACTTATGGGAGTATTTGTTCCTGATGGCTCTCAGCTTATCGTCAGGAGGAGCCAAGAGCATCACGTAGAGCTTCCTGACGACCGGTGCCAAATCCGACGTCTGGTAGCCGGAGTGGAACTGCAGGATGGGAGACTACAGGAGAACAGAAATGAGACGAGTGTTCGTGGCTCAAACAAAAAAAACCAGCAGTGTCGAACCCTTCAAAGTAATAAAAATGCAGTACTAATTAACCGCTCGGTGTTCATTACTCAGTCTCCACAGCTTTCAGAGTCACATCAACATTATATCGCTGCTAAATTGCAAAAACCCGACGGGAGATGATTCTGAAGTCTGCGCGGAACAAAATAAAATTATCCACCGTCCCTCGTACGGCCGCTGCGATGATACCTCGAATTTACATGGAAAAACAATTTACATTTAAATTGAAAGGAGAATTGTTCGGCTGCAGTCTGGAGTGAAGATTCATAGTCAAACAAATGAGAGCCGAGAATCGTCCCCGTCTGCCACGAGAGCGGCTTTAACCAAGTCCACCGCAAACAGCGCAGAGCAGCAGTGACCGAGTGAACCTGAAACACTTTTAAGGCCACACAGGACAGAAAAAAAAAGTCTTTGGTGGGTTAGAGTTTTGTGTAAATAACTGCAGACATTCAGTAAATGAGAACTAATGAACCTACGCTGCAGTTGGGGATGAACAATTCATCACATTATTGCAATATGGACAATATGGAGCTGAAAATCTTTCATTAAAAAGGTAAAATATGTCACAATATGCCATTTTAAATGAAGCACTGTGGTGCTGCAGAGACACCCCGGCCTGTAAATCATGTTCTCCTGATAAAAAGGGACGAATGCAGCAAAAATCACATCATCATGTTCATACAGTTCCTCAGTGGGACAGAAATATTTAGACCCCACTGTAATCATGACCCATGTTGTAGTATTTGCCAAGTACTCTCAGTGTTGGTTTTTCCTGTTTTGGCAGCCAATCTACACCAGAGACCAGTTTTCTATGTCAAGCTACTCATGTGTTCTTAAACGTGGCTTTAAATAAGTTGTGAAACCCAACATGTGGTTAAGACCAAACATCATAACTGTTCTTTGGATAAATGCTTCTTCAGTGCGACAGTCCCTCTTGGAGGAAAAGGCCGCTCTATAACAACACCCTTGATGTCAAAAACCAGTAACACCAAGTCAAAGCTCTGCTGCAGAGACGCATCAGAACAGAGCTGCAGATGTTCTATAGACTAACTAAACCAAATAAAACGACTGTGTTGAGGCGACGCACCCATCCGCCCAGGTCTTTGGTGACCAGCGCCATCAGCAGGCAGGCCGAGGCCAGCAGCGATCCTCTCTCGGGCACCAGGTCCATCTCCATGAGGCTCATCTCGCAGAAGTAGCGAGCCAGAGTCAGCGTGTCCATGCCGGCGCTCACACACTGCAGAGAGAGCCAAAGCAAACACTCAGAGGAGGCGAGGACGACCTCAGGAGACCAGAATCCATACAAACAAGGCTCTCTGCTCCACTCATGCAGAGAAATCCCTCAACACGAACCTTGGCATAGCGTCTGAGGAACCGGTAAGGGATGGGGATGTTGATGTCGAACGACAGCGTCTGCAGGATGTTGGCCTCCATGGAGATGAGCTCCTCCCTCTTGTAGGCGTCATCGCAGATGTACAGGAAGTCGTCGACGCAGGGCGGGCTGCGCTCCTGCAGGATCGTTAAAAACACGATTAAGTGTGAGTATAAACAATCCTCCCGTCTTCACTGCATTCTCAAGTCCTGCGGTTAATTCAGCGTGTACGCACGACGTCTGCTTTCTCAGTCCTTTTGATCTCATTCCATTTCTGGTTCTCGATGAGCTAGCGGGTCTCCTTCGGTTTTCTAGCCGGGTTCTTCAAAAGCAAACCCTCAAACCATGCTGAGTGACCTTTAACAGAGTCAGAACCAAAGCTCCGGCCAACTGGGCTAAACTTCTAAGGACAGACTGATCTCACCCTCACGCTGTGGTTGTGCTGAACAACACTGAAACTTAGGAAGAATCACATGGTGGAGACTTTTTAAATCAATATTTTGCACCGAAAAGTGGAATACTTTCGGCGTGCTTGTGTCCTCACCTCAAACTTGGAGGCGATGAGCATGGTGGTGGAGCCGACGAGCTGCAGCATCTCCCTGTGGACGGGCGTTTTCGACAGGAAGTGGTCTGTCATCTTAACAGCCAGGTAGAGGGTCTCGTGGTACAGCTCAAAGTTCTCCTACGCAAACACACGAGTCAGTCGGTCACGTGGGCACAAACACACACGACTTGGCTTTGCTGTATCCGGTCTGTGGTTTCCCACAGTGCAGCAGCTCCAGGGTCGTCTCCTCTGAACCCTCCAGAGTTTTAATTAGCAACTCTTTTTCCTTCAGTTTACAAATGGATTACCTCCCTCGCTAATCACCCCTGAAATCCTCTAATAAACAAACTCACGCCCACACAAGCTACCGGGAAATCCCACCTGCACTTCCACCAGCCAGTCGATCAGGATCGCCCTCATCTCCGGGTTGAGGCTGGGCTGTTTGGGCATGTAGTCACAGAGGACAAACTTCTCCTGCAGACAAGGAAACGAAGGAGACGAGATGAAAACAGAAGGATGACCTTTGCGTTTAGAATTTGCCCCTGAAGCAGCCTTTTCATGAAGCACACTGAGGCGCTTAGAAACATGACTCAGTGTGATAACAGCATCTCACCTCTCTCTGTTTGAGGTAGTCAAAGATGTCCTTTGCATACTCTGGACACATGTAACTGTCCTCGGAGTTCTCAGAGTCAATGTCAAACTCCTTCGGGATCTACAGGACAGAGGAAACAGAATTTAGACAAACCTTTCCACAACATTTGCTCAGCTTCTTCAGAAAACGGTTCATTGTCCTTACCAGCTGTTTCTGAAGGTGTGCTGGCACTTCGCGGGCAGCAGGGGGCGCAGCATCCTCCAGCTGTTCTACTGGAGCCGCCACATCCTTCTGCTCTTCCCTCTCCTCCTCCGTATCAGTCTTTTCCCTCTCGGTTGTCGTTTCCTCTGAGCTCACAGAAGACGACCTGCAGAAGAAAAAAGGCCGAGAGTTACTGAAATCTGCTCCCGACTTGAGACCCACAAGAAAAACTATTTAGTTTTTAAACTTACTTTTTCAGGTTGGCCTGATTCTTTGCAGACACCGATATGGAGCCGGTTTTCTTTGCAGCCTTCTTCCCTGCATCCTTCTTCCTCCCTGGAATGCTGATCTGAACCTTATGAGCCTGGAACAAAGTCAAAATCCAGATTAATGAGGGCTGCAACCGATTATACTCATTGTCAATTATTATCCTGATTGATCAACGAGTTGTTTGTTCTTAAAATGTCCTAAAACATCAGTCAGTGTTTCCCCCCAGTCCAAGAGCACGTCCGCAAATGTTCTATGTTGTCCTCAAACCAAGATTTTCAGTTTACTGATGAGATATTTGAATTTAAGGAGCGGGACTTCCGTAAAGTCACTTAAACCAATAAATCAATTATCAAAATGACTAATTGGATGGTTGACAACTTATCAATTAATCACAATCACCTGTAACGTTTACATTTCAGGCACTTTTTCTTGTATCTGTGACTCACAGCCGAGAATCAAACGTCTCTGCTGGTTTCACAACACGAGCTTTGGTGTTTGTGAGACGTACAAACAGGTCCAGCCGTCATTTCACAGCCAGGTGAGGCCGCAGAGAAACACATTCACACCACAGTGGAAACCTGCAGCGAGTCCAGAGACACGTTCACACCTGAACGCAGTGTGTCAGCAACACACACACACACACACACACACAGAGCGACAAACATCATACATCATGTGTGCAGAGATTGTCAGGAGAGTTTTTTTCCTAAAGATTATGTCTGGAAACTGACATCTCTTGCTGATTTGTTTTATTATTTGCAATTTCTTTTTTTAATTTCTGGACCTGACAGTGGAAACGTCTCAAAGAGAGAACAGTGGAAAAAAGCAAAGCAGCTGAAAACCTTCAGTGATCCAAGCATGTCAAACCTAGTCACCGTTATTTATGTAGCACATTAAAAAAAACAAGAAGCACTGAGCCAAAGTGCTTTCCAACAGAGACACAGATGAGTATTACTAACTTAGCCGACGACCTTAAACACTCCAGTTAAGACTCTGCAGTATTGTGTAAATATATATAACACTAAAGTAGAACTGAGGAAGTTAAAAAGCATCCTTTTAACCAGTTTTGTTACTTGGGGGTTATTTTTGCTCAAGTCTAAAGAAGATATCGGTTCATCAAAGGGTCACGTAAGAGGCAAAAGCACAGATTTCTATCAAACCACTTAGGTTTCTGGTTGTGCGTTTTCATTTACTTCCCATTCTGAGTCAACAACAACCTGATGTGCAACATGAAAATCAACAAGAAACTCACTTTTGCAAAGCAGCTGCTTTTAATTGTCCAGAATGATAAAATGCGCGGCCTAAAGTTAATCACATGCAGCTAAAATTCTAACTTTACTGGCCTATAGACACACATCTGTCCTGTAAATATCAACAGTCCTGTGTCTTCATTTAAGGGGAACACAACACAAATGTGATGACAACTTTTAGTGCTGCATGAATTAAAAGAAAAGCAATAAGGTTGAGGTACAGATGGAGACTTCATCGAGCTATTTAAGACTTTAATTAAGCAATAACGGCAGCGTTTCAGCGGTGAAGTAAGCACCGTGATGGAGCTGCAGGCGTACGACCATGAGTCTGATCCTGCAACTCCAGTCTGTTGAACAATCAAACATTCTCCAGGGAAAAGCGCACCACCATCAGTTTGGCCAATTATTCACTCAGTTGCAGCACATTGTGTGTAACTCCGTTCACGTAGTGTCTCATTCCTTCAGTGGCAACACCAGCCCGTCTAGCAGCGTCTCAGCCGCCACCCGTCACAACAGATGCTGATCTGCACATTCAGCTGACTGAGAAGCAAATCAGCATTCCTGTTGTTTCTCTCTTTTCCCTCTATTTTTATGAAACAAAACTAATACAACACTTTAAAATACACCACGAACGTTATTTTTAGACCAAACTGAATGATTAAACCTCATTTCTGTTGGACTTTAATGAATCAAAAGTCCAACAAAAGGTCAGATGTTGTATGAATGAACTTTGTGAAGTGAAAAAACTGAACCGATGAGGAATGGTTCCTAAAGAGCACCTGTTTTTTGTCAACACCTTTCTTTCTGTAACCAAAATATTTCCCTACAATTAAAGATGCTTTATTTTTGCCAATAAAATCTTCCCTCCGGTGCTCATTTCGCTGTGCACATATGGAGCCTCTGTGTCAACTATCAAACTCTAACAAACAAACAATGAACTCTTAAATCAGGCCTTGTAGATTAGCCAGGGGACGTGAAAACCGAGCAAGTTTTCTTTTCGTATCGAACAGCATTAAACTGACTCCAAGCGTCTCTGCCAGCTGGATGCAAACAGTATTTTACTCAGTGTCCTGACGCTACATGTTAGTTGGACGATCTGACAGACTGACAGCCGGTTGGGAAGATGGATGAGCGGTTAAAATAAAGCAACACATCATGCAAAGTCATGCTACACTCAAGAACCACTCATAAATCAAACATAATCCAAATTTTAGCCTCAAATCTCAATGTTTTAGGCCTTTAAGCCACTCACAAAGACGGGGTGACACACAGGCCAGCCGGGAAAGTAGCTGCTGTTATTATCATCATCCGTTGTGCTGCTATGAGGGTTTTCGGGCCAGAAAAGAAATATGACAAATATTTACTGCTAGAAAAAGATGATGATGGTTTAATCTGTTAGCCCAGAATGAGAGATCTTGTTTTGGGACTCTATTTGTGTTCTTTATGTGGCATATAAAGGCACACTCAGGTGACACTTGGTTATTACGAACACTGAATAGAGCATCCTCTAACAAACACATCACGCTCTTTGCTTCAGGAGAAAAGAAGCCAACTTTCTGTGCATCTCCGAGGCCTTGGTATGAATAAACGCAACAGTATTCCCACCGAAGCAGGGGTTACAACACCACCATCTATGACAGATTTACACAACAGTAAGAGGACACCGTGGAACAATGTGATGTTAGGAAACCAGACACTCGCCGTAGAGCCAGCTGCTGAGGAACAGTGCCATGTATCAGGGGGAAAAAAAAAAACACACCCAAAGGACAATCAACGAGCAAATACCGATGTCATCATGAGGACTTAACTGGTGCAGAAACCGTGGCCAGACGGGCAATTTTCTGATCAAGATGACAGCGTATGATAGCGGCTTATGGTTTCATAATGGATGGGAATGAAATGGTCACATTATTCTCATAAAGCCAAAGAATATAAAGCTAGAAAGTCAGACAAATCTGGCCAAAACAATTCCACCTAAAACTTCTGATAGCTAGAATAGTCCAACTTGGAAATCTTGGCAGGCTGGCTTTAGTGAACAGAAGATATTTTCATCTAATCCACAGTTTGAAACAAGGCATAAGCTGCCATTTAGGATATGCATTAGGCAGTGCATGACCGTAGGTTTGCGTAATAGTGAATACTAAACTGAAGCATGACCATAAAAATGTATGTTGCACCTCAAATTGCAATATGTCAGAAAAAAATGCAAAGAGATATTCCCCCCCAACTCATTCAGCCCTATTTTCTCCTGCAGACAAAGTGCATCTTTGCAGCTCGCTCTCCCAAATCACAGCCTCTCAACTTACATTGGTGATGTCTATGAACGCAGTCCTCTTCTTTGGAGCTCCATGAGGAGGCGAGGAGGACCTCTTCACCTGTGGGCCTTCATCCTGCAACACACAAACAGAAAGAAAAAAACAAAACACCACATCAGCCACAATTCAGGTGTTTCTGTCGTGCATGTGCAGGGAAAAAAAAATCACTTCCGCTGCAGACCAAGCATCCTTCAGCTGCTGCTTTGTTTACAGCAGCGGGCTTTTTAAACGAGCAGGAGGAAACACATGCATGCACGTTTCTGTCACCTGGTTCTCGGTGGATGCTGCACCCAGCTTGGGTATCTTGCTTCCTGCGGTTGTTGTGGGTTTCTTCCCTCTAGATAAAGGCATGGCTGGCTCCTTTACGTTACCCCCGAACACGAGCTCTGCAGCAGCTGCACTCGGACATAAAAACACACACAAAAAAAATGGCAGGTTGGTTTTAAAAACAATTAATTAATTTATTAATTTTTTTAGCAGATTTAGCAGCACTGTGCAGCAGATATAAACAACAAAGCAGCATTCAGCCTTACATGGGTGGAGTTAGTCACGTGAACCGGCTCTGCGCTCAAAATATAACCATAAAATTGTATATTTTATCCTACCTTACAGTATAATTCCGTCTTTTTTTGATCCAGTCGCTTGTTTTGGGGATTAAAACCCGCCTATAGTTGTAGTAAATAGTCCAAACTAGATGTGTTCCTTCTTTGACGAGACCTCAGACAAAAGTGTTTCAGCTGCGGATCTAAATCTGCTGCGCTGCGCTCTCATTGGCTAGAATTTGAGCCGGCGGACCAATCAGGAAGTCGCTAAGGATGCCGTCGCTAAGGAGCGTTAGTTTCATAAAACAGCTCCGCCCGGTGACAAAACGTACCCTAACGATGACAACAGCAGAAGCCATAGAAACAAGCATTTAAAAACAAACACAATTTTAAAATACAACATTTTGATATGATATTTTAAATAAGGCGATTCTAATATTATTGCATTCAAAACAAATTTAAATGAAAACTTATCTCCGCCCACCTCAGTTTGCTGACGCAAATCCAGCGAACCCTGAGGAAGCAGCGTTTGATTTTCAAACCTCCGGGCATCCAATAGAGGTTTAGGCGTTGGGTGTTTTACTAATGTTTTCCGCAAGAGGCACGTTTTTACCGGTGATTATTTCGGTTTGTATTTAAGCCACATAAACACGTGACACAGATTTTTCACACGATTGCATGTGACCAACACACTGACAACACACACTTTATCCACCAAAGTCTCTCCAAGAGTCTTTCCAACATGTACTGTTTATTTATGTATGTGTTTCTAACTTTAATTTGACTATTAATTCATTTATCAAACTTGCAGACCACCTACAAGTGCTGTATACAATTTATTTTATTTATTTAACCTTTATTTTATGAGGTAAGTTCATTGAGAACTGTTTCTCATTTTCATTTATGTTATTATGTGTTTACTTTTAAGTATATTTTTAAGTATATTTTTAAAGGGACAGCACTCAATTAAATATCATTTCACCAGAGTTACCTAGCAGCTATTTTGTAATCGCTATCTCTGGGCAGGTGAACAAAAAACAACAAGTACACCCCATAATAAACATATAATAGATAATAAACAAAAAGTACAGTTATTAGTGGGGACACTTTTGTGGTGACTTTACTAAAGCTCGAGGCTGGTTTTAAACACTGCAAAGCTTCCTAAATCTATCGTGTTTGTGGGAATGTAGTTCCACTTCCCTCCAGAAAGCAGACCGACCAGATCGTGTACCTTCACCTCTCCTAGATGTTGTGGTACAACTGGCACTGCCGCCACCTTAAAGGCCAAGTGTCCTCTAAAAACAGAGACAAAATAAATGCAGGTTTATGTTGTTTTAACTGTGTCGCATTGCAGGACAAGGATATCCTGCACACATGCTGTTTTAGGCAGAATTGTTTTTCTTTAGTAACCCACAGTACAAATAAACTTCAAATAGATCATGTGGATGTTTACAGTATTGATTTCGTTTTATCAGAGCAGTAATGGTTTGCATTTGTTGGTAACTTGTCTTCACAGGCTACGAATTGCTTTCATTTTGTATTTTTTTTCAGAGTACCGTTACAGGACAAGTATATTCTGTACACACACACACACACACACACACACACACACACACACACATATCTGTGGCTACATTTGGTTTATAGGTGAATATTTGCTTCAATTTTCGCTTTTTCCCCCCAACATAAACATTTCCAAGCTCCTTTGTGAGTCAAGGTTACAGTGACCGAGAAATTGTTCTTTTATTGCTGTTATTTGGGTTTTATTCAAACATGTAAGTTGAGGAACTGTAACTTGATGGACTGGTGACCTGTCCGAGGTGAACTTAGGCTCGAGCTCACCGTAACCATCTACACAATAAAGTGAGTATAGTGATGGACTGATGCATGAATTGTTGTGTAAGTGTTTTTGGCAGCTCACAGTTAAAGAGTAAATACAACACGATGGGGCTGGCTCACTCATAAAGTCTTTTGTTGCTCCTATACGGTCCTGTTTTTCTGTTTTGCTCGTGCCAGGCCGGTCTGGCATGCGTGTGATTTCCCTTCAGGCTGCCGCACAAAACTGAAATGACCCTTAAAATCTATTTAAACGATTGCGTTGAGCAATGAGCTCACTTACACAAAGATAGGTATTTCCTGAATAGGAGGGGAGAGAGCGCAGTGGGCCTACTGGGGCTCACAACACAGAGTTACTGCAGAAACAGGCTGGATAATAGCGGGTCATAAAATTGTGGATCACATATGTGCACCCAGAGGGCAGCTCCAAGATGAACTCTGCAGGAAGCTGACAGCTAACGTCCACCCGAATGCCAGGAGTTTGGAAGGGTCATCTTTGGCTCTGGGCTGGATAACAGGAATGGAGGCTGTAAAACGTATCTGTAATAACTGTTAGATGAATTCATTTCAGGCGTCCTCTGACCCGGAGAACAGAGCTGTTATCTCTGAACACACCCTCTAATTGCACCATTACCTCTCCCTGGATACGACATTATTATCATTAATATCCGAGGTGAACAAACATTCCTCGGTTTGTTTCGTTCCAATGTGCAGCACACAAAAAGCCAAACAAGTCCCTCGGCCTGGTCCATTAATACATTCGGCCCACGTTCGCTTTATTTGAACAGCATGCTCTGAAGCAGCTTCGAGGCCGGCGGTTCACGCGGTGCAATCTGGCATGTAATGAAGTCTGCGGAGAGATATCATCGCACAACACTACTTTCATTTCATCTCCCCTTCCTGTTGTCCTCATCCAAGACAAAAAGCCTTCATATGAGAGCACTTTCTGCCAGATTGCTCGTGTCTCATTCAGAGCTTGGGAGGAATAGTTTTATAATTTTAAGGATTTGGTTAAAGCTGCAAAGAAATGGGTGTGGTCAGGATAATAAATTCAGGGTCACGGAGGCGATGTTTCACAGAAAATTACTTAAAGCCGGAGGTTACGCTGGGTCAGGGCTGTCTGGGGCTCAGCCAACAGGGGACGCTCAGCTTCACCACAGCCACCTTCAGCAAGTTTCTAGTCCTAATTATTCACAAATGGAGTAAAATGCACTTTATTTGTCCCTTTAGGTCTAAAAGCTCTTCAGCAATTACAGCTGTAGAGTCAATAAAATGACGCAACTTGCAGGTTTTCCCTTTGTAATGTCAGCGGGTTTCCCCAAAAGCCAGCCTGTAGATCAGCCCTTCTTTCATCAGACAATGCAGACGGAAACGATGGAGATCTCATTTTGTTACTGAATGGAAACTGTCCTGACATTCTGCTTAAACATCATCGCTGTCAATGCTATTTAGATGTACTTCAGATAAGATAGATAACATTAGGTTAGCTGTCAAACAAGCTCGTTTGATCATTTTCCAGCTATAACTTCAGGAACGTCAACACTATAGATGCCAACTGATTCCCTTTTGATGTAACTATTGAAATGGAAATGACCTCATTCACATTGATGTGTTCTTCTGGTGGTCGCCTTCCACCGCCATTGTTCAATCTGATGAACAATAAAGTGCACTTAGGAGGACGTTGTCATCAGCTGCCACATCCAGAGCAGATCGCTGTCAGCGCAGATCAGACTTTGTCATTGTTTGTGCACAGTCTCTCAAATGATCAATCACAGGCCAACATCTGGGCTGAGTGTATTGTATGGAGGCTCTGGTCTGCACAAAGATTTTGCCTTTCATTGTTGCTCATGTGCACCAATGGCAACCGTGAAACCGCTGAGCTGCCCACATTACAACTCCTCGTTTAACCTCTGCTTAAACTGATCAGACTGTGGAATTGTTGAAATTGTCAAGTCCAGTCAGAAGTGTTTATCGAGCAAGTTCAAAACAGATGTTGAGCCGAGAGCTCCAACAGAGAAACACGACTAACGTTAACAAATTAAATACTCAGGGTAATCCCGACAATATTCATTTCCAGTGGTGGAATATAGGAACGGGATTACTGATGATTTCCTTTGGAGCTTTTTAAAGGGAAATACTGAACTATATCCTCACCTGGAGCTACATGACAGCTCCTGGTAACTTACAAACTCCGACATTGGATATAAAACATATAAAGAACGTTTATTAGCTATATTTAGGTTATTTCTAATGCAAAAAAAAGTCCTCATATTTCATGATTCTAGCTCCTTAAACCTGAAGATAGCGTTTGGTGCTACGCATGTTGACGACTATTTTTCACAGGGACAGTTTTTTCCTGCACTAATTCTACCTTTAAGTACTTTAAGACTTTTATTTAGTAGCATTTCCACAGTAAGACTTTTACTTGTAACTGAGTATTTTAGGTAACGTAAAGGATCCGAGTACTTCTTGTAGCGGTGCACTAAACTCTAAACACCTTATTTCATAAACTACTGCACAGTTCTACATCTGGACTGCTCTTCCTCTTCCTCCCCTCGTCATCTCATCATTTTCTGTTTAACCTCATGAAAAAATGAGAAGAATGAAGCTGAGAGAATAATTTTAGCACAGCGTAGGTTTGCATAATGTTGATGAATTCATCACTTCCTCATGTCGTCATCGAGGTAGGTTTCTGTGAGTTTTCACTCAGGAAGTGAGTAAAACTCAAACCGTTTCCGTGTAAACTCACTTGCACTGGAGACGTTCAAGCTCAGAGCTGTGACTCCGATGCTAACCGGTAAGTTCCATGCAGGCGTTTTAGGCCACCTTTCCTTTTTTTCTCATATTTTGTTGTGCATTTACGTAACTTCTGGCTACAAGCTTATCCTCGTTGCCCTCAAGAATCCCTCTGCGTCTTGCCAGCTGTGGTTATAAATCATAAGTTGCCCTTTTGATCCGTCATACCTCAAATCCAACACAGCAAACTTATTTGCCTCTTTTTGAATCTTTATCTCATCTTTCATGAATTCCTTTCTGTCCAGAGTTTCTTGGCGGATTTCTTACAATATATAAAACAAAAGATGATGCGACGTCAAGATAGGTTTGGCGGACTGTGAAACCTTAAATGCTCTCTTGAGAGTTTTCATATCACAGCGTGTTAAAACACTAAAAATAGTGGTGGTAAGACATTAAGTTTTGATAGAAGGTCAAATGAGGCATTTCCATCACTTGTCTTTGTTCCTGTGAGCACGAATGCAGAAACTTTGTGTGTCCAACGAGAGTGGATCAGATGTGTGTTGGTGTCATCAGATCGAAGGAACACCCAGAAACAAAGGAAGCATCTTGTCAGCGGTCCTCTGCCCATCACGGTGTCAAAGTCATTTTGCCAGGAGAAGCTGTTTTAGCTGTATTTGTTGCACATCTGCGCTTCACTCTCTACTTCATCCTCCTCTACGATCCGCTTGAGGCCAGGCTGTCATCGACTGAATGAGTCACAGAACGCGATGACAGTGCGGCATGTCATTAAGTCTGAAACATCACACTCATGGACCGAAATGAAGCTTCTGTGATGTTCGGAGCGTCACTCGCTTTGGCTGCATGAAAACAAACGGAGCTTAAATCGAGGGGATCTCTGGGCGAGTTTGGGAATCACCCCACCTGGAGTACATTACGTCTCAGAAAACTGATTTATTTATTTGCACACTTTTGCAAAGTTTACATCACATATCCATCAAAGCGTTCTTTTCCAGCTGTCCAGCCTGGATGGTCGTAAAATGCTAATCCTGAATTTCACAGCTAGATTCAATAGTTGTAGGAGGGCCGTTGCTGCAGTCGAACCAAAGAAGAGGAGCAGCCGTTAACAGAGCTATGCTCAGCTTCACATTGCCGCCTCACAGCCTGCCTCCATCTCCAGTTTCTCACCCAGCTAACCTCAAGCGGCAAGGTCTGGTAAAGTGAGAAGAGAAATATTTCAAGTAGTTTAAATCAGACGCTCTGACGCGGTTCGTGTTGTAGCTGGACAAAGATTTACTGTCCACCAGCGCTGAGGCCTGCCGAGTTCAGCAGCTTCTGCTAATGTGTTTTGTCTCATTTTTTAAAAGTCTGAAGGCACAGTTATGTGAGAAAATCAATACCTCATGTGCGTACAGCCAAGCAATAGCTCGCCACATGATCCCCAGTAAAAAAAAAAAAAAACAATGTGTTGCTTTTACTCTGCAGTTTAAGAAACAAGGTACAAAGTTGATTAGTGAGCTTTGAAGGTGGTGGAAAGCAGATTTTGTTGCATTTGCACGGAGCCAGGAAATGTGTTTCCAGTCTTTGTGCTAAGCTACGCTAATTGGCTGAAGTTTTATATTAGATATACAAACAGAGAGAGAGAGAGAGAGAGAGAGAGAGCAGAAATCCTCTCGTCGAACCTCCACCAAGAAAGAAAATCAGTGTTTTCACCAAACTATTCTTTGAGCATTAGAGGAGGAGAAGAACGCTTTCAAATATCCAAGCAAAGATTGATTTCAACAGACCCTGGAGAGCAATGACAGCAGCACAAGTCTCCATGTTGTTTTATATCATTAAAGTGTTTGCATGTGGAGGCTCTGTAATTCACTGGATGTGAAAACAAACACTCCTGTTCGCTGAGTCAAAGTTTGTGGAACAAAGACCCCTTTAAACACTCGTGCGTTGGTCCAAATCTGTTTTTTCTTGGTGTTGAAATAGATTTGGACGACTTTCATGTAACATTCTAAGATTACAGCTATGAATCGATCGACCTGCATCACGACTGAGTTTAGAAAAGCGCTTTTTTTTTGTGCTGCTCTCAAACCAAACTGAATTTCCTGCCTGTCACATCCTGGCTGCCTGACAGCTCATATGGTGACAGGCTGTGGTTGAAGCCTCAATCTTATTTCCATCTCGGGCCGCGGAGGGGACTTTCTGTTCTTTCTGTCTGTCATTCTACCTCTAGTTTCGCGTGATGCCTGCCTACACACTCTGTTTCTTGCTGTTTCTTGTACATATAGCATTCTTTCAGCACAGCTTATCTATTTCTTTTCTAATCTGAAACAGGCAAGGAATGCAAAAGTATTGGTACGGAGGAGAGTGAACGTGAAACGCTGCACCATTTAAGGGAAATATTTATATCTTGCTTGGCTTTAACTGAACACGTTGGCAACACTTACTCAAATAAAAATACATAAATTAACAAATTATGTGAACAAGGCAGCAGTTCAAACCATATTCTGTTCACACAAAAAAAAAGGCTGCAGGGAAAGCGACGTTTCCTTTACTTTGACTCAGATTATTGCTTTTATCTTCACAGATCCCATGCAGACAGTAAATGCAGATTCAAGGGTGCCAGAGCCCACTAAGCAAAACCTTGGCATTCCTAAAGGCCACAAGAGAAGCCCCCTAGACTTTGAGGCTTTTGAGGCGTTCGCCCAAAATACGGCAGAGAACATTATCCAGTCATTTATAAGCCAAATGGAAATGGTGGAAGCTGAGGTGGCCAGTTTGAACCGAGACCATGAGATGTTGGCTGAAGACTTAGCGTCAGCGGTGATTGAGATTGCCTTGAGGGAAGTGTGTCGAGGTGGAAACGTCGAGGTTCCTGAGAGTTCAAGGTCAGCTGGCGTAAAGATGGATCATGAAAATGCTGAGAGGCTGTCTTTGGTGGATAAACCTGCAAAAGAAAAAGACTTGGACGCAGACATGGATCCGGTTAGAGATCTGCAGACTTGCAGCCAGCCCAGTCATCCGCCTCTATCCCAGTCACAGCTTCCCCTTGTGGGATCCCTCGACTACCCCGACGCCCCTCCAACCACCCCTCTCCTCCCCGAGCTGGAGCGGAGCAGACACAGCTTCGCACGAAAGCTGAAGGGAGGCTTGGCAAAGGTCTTCCTGCCCTCGCCTCCTCCGCCAACCCCGAAGGAGAAAGAGACGAGCTCAGACGCTGCCATCGGCGACCATCAGGTGGATTTAATGGAGCACCTGATGCATTCACTGTCCACAGAGGACCTGGCAAGACACAGTTTTGAAGGAGGAGCCAATATGGAGGCGTTTGCAGACGCTCTGTCATGTGATATCATGGACTGGGTCTTGAGGGCCAAAAACAGAGAGCAGACATCAGACGATGGCGACCTTCATCTATTAGCCCACCAACTGGCCAAAACAATCATCACCTCCTCCCTCGATGAAGCTAAAACGCTTGTCTAGCATGATTAACGGGTTCATGCAGGATGTGATGACCACTGCGAGGACAAATTTTCACATCCACCATGCACCACCTGGTATTCTCACTGAAATGTGATTTACTGCGATAATATAATTACTCTGAAGTTGTTTTCTTTTATGATCTTTTTCTCAATAAAGTTCAGATGCATCTCATTAAGATGAAGTGTTTACTTTTGGAACATTGGCTATTTATTGCAAAAACCGCCTGCTGATCGAATAAAATACACGGTGTGGTGCTTTTTATGTTTTGCGCGCCAGCCTCAGGTACTGGTCTCAGTCCAGCATGGATATAAAGGTCTCCTATCCTGGGATCCAGCAGCTACAACTGTACATGACCTTTAGATGGCAGCACAGGAGAAATGTTTCTGTGAGTTTTTACCATGAGGTCAGCGAGGTTAGCCGGTTTGGGTAGATGACAACAGCTGGAGTCAATTCAGCTCAGTTTTGACATAAATTAGCATTTGAAACTGTGGAAGCTTCTTTTGTCCGTGTGAACTGTTAGCAACTTGTTTGCGTCTTGATTTTGCGTCACTGCTCAGGTCTGCTGCTCAACACAACAACAGAACACAGACTGAATCCTGTGAGCACTGATGCAACTACAGCCAAAGATCAAACTGCATCACAGTTTGTGTGATGAATTCGAATCACGCTGCCCACATGATCGAGTTTAATAAAGGGATGTTTGGTTAGCTCTCCATGTAATCAGCCTCAGCGTGATTCATTCATCCCCTCAACTGAGCCTAGCACTGGCATTTGGGATGAATTTGTTTTCTGGCTCGAAGAAAACTCATTTTCATACTCACTTAATCACTGAGGTCAGATCCAGGAGAAGAAGGAGCCACAGTTCTTAACTAAACATTGATGTAATCTTGAAAAGAAATGAAACTCTTTTTTTTTTTTCTCCCCCTTTTCTTTCTATTTCAAATCAGTACCTAATTTAAACACAGCAATCGACTGCCAAATTCAGTAAAATCAAAGTTTGGCTGAACTTTAAAGGAGCAGTTTGGAATAATACGTTTTATTGTACTTCTTCATCATCATTTCGTCACTGGTTTAAAGCGGCGTGCTTGGGTACACACATATCTGAGATTAAAGACGATGAACAACTGGAGCATAAACGCCTAAAGATTTGTTTGCTGTCTTGTGTTTACGTGTGTGCATGAACACACAAGAATAGCAGGAGAAATCTGGGAGTGATTAGGAGAACAAATACAGTGCGTGTGCACAGTGTTTGAATTTTGGATTTACTTTTCAGCCACACCAGCGACGCGGCACTAAGAGTGTCGGTCTACCACTTACGTCCACGCTGAAATATTTCAGACCCCAACGGACGGATTGCCATGAAATTTCACATAAACATTTACGGTCACCAGAAGATTTAAAACGACTGACGCTGGTGATCTTTTCTTTTAGCACCACCACGGGGGGTTGCCATTTGGGGTTTCAAGTGAAATGTCTTCACTGCTAGATGCATTGCCATAAAGGTTTGGAGCTGCGGCGCTGGTGGTTTGCTGCTTCAGGTACCGCTGAGGCAATGAAATACGATCTGGACTGGCTTAAAGATCTGTGAATTGGAAGGCCGTTCAGATGCCAAAGTCAATTCTAAAGAGTTTTCCCGGAGACCACTGTTAAATAAAAAGATAATAAAAGAAGCTAAGGTTGCATACGTCTCCCTCATGCCACCAAAACACTGTGGCCACGAGTCTAAGGACCACTAAAAGGTGTCCTGCAGCAGATCCTGGAAGTTCTGGAAGTTACCAGGTGGGGCCTACATGACTTGTTTTTCCAGCACGGTCCACAGAGGTCTGGGAATTTAGAGTTCAAATTAACACCTTTAAACTGTTGTCATGTCCTGCGTAGCTGCTATGAAGTTTTGCCAGCAGAACGTTGCCGTGAGCATCATGCTGCCTCCTGCCGTCTTCATAAAGTACATCCTGAGTACAAAAAGCTCCCCTTTTTGTACTCTGAAAAGTGCTGACCTTAAGCTGAGAAGCACCAGTTTCAGCTGCATTTGCTGGAGGATACCAGGAAAACCCTGTTTCTACCAGTTCCACCGCTGTCACCGTCAGCAGCACTCTGATCAGTCCGCGGCTACACAGAAACAAACGCAGCGATCTGTGACAGCTTTCTATCACAGCCAGCATCAAGGTTTTCAGCAGTTTGTGCTGCAGTAGCTTTTCTGAGCAATAAACCACACACTTCACTCACCACACCTATCAGTGACCCTTTGGTGCCCATGATGCTGCCGCTGGTTCACCAGGTGTCCTTCTTTTGGGAGATACTAACCACTGCATACCAGGAACACCCCACAAGCTTTTTGGAGACGCTCTGATCCTGTGATCCAGCCAATACGATGTGAGTCTCTCAGTTCTTCACCAACGCTTCCTATTTTTCCTGCTTCTAACACCTTCGTCATGTGCTGCCTCATATACTCCAACCCCATGACAGGTGCAACTGTAACGACATACTGAGAGTCATTTTTACTTCAGCTGTCGATGGTTTGAATGTTTTGGTGCACATCTGAAGGCAGACAGCACCTTGTTGAATGACCGTGCCACTGTGCCTGCTGTGCCACCAGCCTGGTCCCATTCACACGACGGAGGAGGTTGTTCACGCGGAGCTAATGCCGGTCTGGAAGTGGATTAAGATGAGAAAAATGTGTTTAACATCAGCAGTGCCATTCGCCAGCTTTTTGACTCAAAATGTTGAAACACAGCCTCACAGACATCACATGCTTGCAGCCTTGTTGGCAGTGTGACACTAGACAAACAGTGGTTAATTCAATATATGAAAACAGTCCAATCATGACACAGGGTTCCGTTCTCACTTCCACACATCTGGCCAGTGGCGGCGTGATGTCACATTATTGGTTTCAGGCGGTCGCAGGCCGCCCTAATCAGACACTGGAGAGTTTTCGAGGAGGGGATTACCAAAGCTTTCCAACACGCACTTCTAGTGGAAGATATCTGCACCTTTCACCCACATTTTGATGCTTATATTTAGCAAAAACCATCTGTAAACACTGTTCTTCCTGGAGAGTTGTGTTCCAACACTGAGCTGCTAATTTGACCCACATATCCAAGCAAACAGAGCAGAAAACACTCACTCTGGCTTGGCTACAGTACGTAGATAGTCCCTTAGCTGTGATACATAATATGTCATGGAATGCTCAGTCTGAACTTGTGCCTCCCACCGCTGATCACCATTGTGTTTTCTCACCGCAGGACTGACGGACCGACACACTCGCAAATATACACACCGACGCACACAGACGAGCTGCGGGGCTGGGCGGACAGCTGTGGTATCAGAGGAGACACGCACGCACACATCTGGAGAAATGCTTGTTGTGTTTTCCGGAGGTTGTCTGCCAGAAAGAGAGGAGGACCGAGGGAGGGGATGAAAAGGGGAGGAAGCATGATGGCACACAGAGGATGTACAGCAGGATGACTTTAACATACGACGGTGGGAGTAAACTACGGAGACACGCAATGTCTTCATCTCTCAGGGGAGGTAGCCTCCACCTACTAAATTAAAAGCATCCACCCTGAATCCAAGAATATACATCCATGGAGGGGGCCGAAGATTTTACACTCATTACTTCATTATAGCTGACTTGTTAAATGTCATTACCTTTGAACTACTGCATAAATTGCTATATTATGGAAGACTATTTAATTCTAACCAACAGAAACGTAGCACAGCTGTGACATCAACTTTACTTTGAATGTACAGTTTATTAAAGAGCATTTGTTTTAAAATGATCTTGAGTCTTTTAAAAGCCTGCTGCCTGTAACTCCAACACTGGCTCTCCTTTTAGCTCCAGTTTGACCTCCACCTCCTCCAAAGGGAAGCACATACTTTATACATTTTTTAATGTTCTGCTGAGTTAAAATGAACCCAATATAATAATCTGTTTTATATTAAACCTACACTAGAACTAGAACTTGAAGCAAGTAGTTTTTCATTGCAGAAACGTGTAATACAGGCCCGTTCTGATGGCAGATGATTCATTTTCACAATATTCCATGAAGAGATTCAAATATTTCTTGCGAGACTGAAGTTTTGGGAACTCGTTTCTTCCATTCTCTTCAGATGGCACTTCTGCCCACCTGGTTTTGCTTTGCTGCATCTTAGCCCTGCGCCAGCTCGAGCATGTGCATGTGGACTGTTTTGTGCAACACAAAATCTCTTTAATCAGTCCTTGGTCAAAACACGGGACGGAACAATTTGTAGCATTCGTTTCTTGTTTCTTTTCCAGATGACTGAACCTGATTGGTCCCATCGGACGGTTCACACAGCGTCGGATCAGATTAGACGGACTTTCAGTAAATTTAAATGTCTTCATAGAGTCGTATTTTGATCCGATGATATGGCAGCAGCTGAAATAAGTCCTGCAGCTGCACTGTCTGGGACAGTGCTGTCTTTCATTCAACTTGCCATTTAGTAAAGGGTTAAACCAACAAACACTCTATGCAGCTTCCAGCTCTGAACATGAAGGGAGCCACTGCCACAAAAGAAACTTGTGTGCTCGACTGAGTTTTACAACATAGCAGAACTGAAAAATGAAAAATCTGGGAATGGTATTTGAGCCAAGTCTGATACTCATCCATCTATCATCTGTGTCAGTGTAGGTGGCAACCACAGCTGTATTTAAAGGCTACTGAGTGCACCGATTACTCTATTTATGGGGGTCCCATTGGCTACTGGCTCTGAGTTCATAAATCTGAGGGAGGTAAGATCAGCACACCCACAGGGTGGAGAATTCAGGCGCCACATGAGGCTCTGCTTTATTTTTCTACATTGGTTACTGATAGCGATGCTGATGTTGTCATACTTCTAAAGAAAGCACAGCCAGAGAAGAGCAGCCAAACCCGTATTCCTGACCCCCGGATAAGTTTGATCTAAAAAATATATAGCGAGCCATTTAACAGGTCATTTAGCACGGTATTTCAAACATCCGCAGATACTCTTCTTCTTCTTCTTCTCCTCCTCCCAACATCTGGATGGAAAAGTGTTCCATCTGTTCAGATGACTGGCATCCTCTTTTAATGTTCTGACCAAGCGTGGTAGCCAGAAATTCTATAATCTCCCTGCTCAGGATGTGAACCATCAGTTACACTGCCGTATAATGGTGTTTCTTTACAATAAACTGTTTATATTTTCCTAAAGCAATGCTAAAAGCTTTGTGTGTTTTGAAATGAATGCTCATGTCAGACAACAATGTCTTCATTTTGAGAGCTAGCATTTGCTAGTTGGCACCAAACGAAAAGCTGAGGCCAGTAGAAATATCATAAGTATTTGGTCATAAATCAAAGTGCCAAGCTAATTAGTCACATGTCAACTCATGTCTAAAGTCAGTGGGACTTATCATTTCTTAACTGATGAACTTCTGAGCTAATAATCATGATGCTAAAGGAGAGACAAATGGATTCATGATACATACTGCGTTAGTTAAGCATTACTGCTTCCCAAAACTGTACTGCAGCGCATCAAACAGTTAAAAATGTGTTTCAGTATTGAGTTTTTTTATTAACGTGGCTGAACACAGAAGGAGGAAGTGGGTTTTTGTTGTTGTTTTTGTTGTTTCTGGCAGATTTAACTTGATAAGAAGATGAATTTGCTTTACAGTTGTTTGTTGAAATCACCTCATAGCTCATTTTCATTCAAACGTTTCAGGTTGTTGAAGGAAATATCTTCACAGTAATTTTTGTGTGACGGTACGACTGTTCTCTGCTGTGAACACTCGTCACCATTAGAACCTGTTGCCATCGCTGTGAATCCAACAACTGTGACGGTTTAGAATATTAAATACTGATATCATGTTAACAATAGATGATAACTTCATAAGGATTCCAGCACCAATAACTACCTGGCTGATATTCAGAAGATATATTTTATTTGGTGTCGTTCCAGAGGATCTTGTCTGCTGTAAACTTTTTCTCAGGCCAGATAGTTAGCGTTTGTCTCAGACTGGAGAAACAATTCAATCCGACAATCATCTGCAAAAACAACCTGAGATGGAGTCAGCTTCAAACCCAGAACGCTGTCACATCCATCCTTCTTTCGGACGTGGAAAGTATTCGACTCGTCTCTCCCCCTCACCAGTTTCACCGCTGTGGATTCAACCATCTGGGTTTTTATACTGCTTCAAACCCAAATGTCATTCCATCTCACCTGCAGACGGCATCCCTCCCTTCCTGGCCACCAAGATTTGCGCCGAGAGTCACGTCCCAGCAGGAATGGATCGCTTTCACATCTGGTGCAAAAAGAACCTGAGCAACGAAGACAGTTTGGAACCATTTTTCTGGATCAGTTTTCACGGATCAAGAAGCATTTAAAGCATCCCTCCTGCTGCTGTTGGTTTAACCCCTACAAATGCATCTCTGTGTATCAAGGTTTCATATTTAGAAGTTTGGTCCATAAGTATATTCCCTTTCACTCACAGCAGCTTCAGCACACCAGCTCCACTATGGCAGCTTATAATATTGGAACCAGAACAGAGTCTGAAGAATGATCCAGAAAGCTCCACATAACAAGCTGGCAGGATCTTTTTTTAAAAAAGTTTGTTCTGTGTGAAACCCTGGAAACGAATCCGTGTTTGTGAGAAAATGTTCCGCCATAGTTTCAACCACCTGTTTCACTCTTGATGCCTCTAAAAATGACATCGGCATGTTAACAAAGTAAACAACTTGAAAGGGGGACAGTGAACTTAGCAGGCTGTTTGCTGCAGAGCGCATCACCGTGTCATCAACTCTGCAATCGAACAAGCTTGAAAGAGGAAAAAACAACAGCATGTAACTCACAAAGAGAGTCTCCTGTTGTTGAACTGGACTGGGTTTTCTCTGGTTTCTTTGAAGCCGGACCTGAACATGTCTGTTTCTTCAGCAGCTCGGTGCTGGTCTGACGGGTCGGCGCTGTCGGACTGGCAGCGGCCCAGCCTCGTCTCTTCTGTCTCCCATCTCTGATAAACAGCTCCGATGCTGGGCACTGCTTTCCAGCTGTTTGTGGGGACAGAAGGGAAACAAAGGAAAGCTGAGCTGTAAACACGGTTCCTGCCGGTCTCCTTCCTTTAAAGTCTTTATTGTGTTTGGGAGAAAATATGAGCTGCATCATGATTCTGTGTCCAAACACAAGATAATAATAAAGATAATAAAAGTGCTTTAAAACCCTCTGTTTTATGATGATTTAGGACTTTATTGAGCAGAGAAGTTTCTTCTTTTGGCAGAAGACACCAATTAAAACGTCCGTTTATTCATGACTCCGTGGGGTCTCGTCTCTTCAGTGACCCGAGTGCAGCGCTGTGATGTTTTTGGAAGTTTAAATATTTAATTGTGGCTGCAGTGATAAACTGGAGGGCGTCGGGTAAATATTTGGTCTCAAACAGCGTAAAGCTCTAAAATAGACCTCAGACAAAAGCACAAATACTGGAGCTGCAGAGGACAGATAATCAGGAAACGTATTTAGAATTATCAAAAAGGAGCTTTTCTCATTAAAAATGCTTCAATCTCGTGCTGCCACAAATATTTATTTTCTATTATCAGTTAATCTGCTGCTGATTAATCTATTGAAAGCACGGTTTGAATTTCCAAAACAACTTTGTTTAGTTTCACAAAAATAAAGATTTATTATTATCAGGGACAAAAACGTAAACAGTGACCTTTGAGAAGCAGTGGCTTCCTGCCATTTCTGAATAAAAGGATTAATTAAACGGCAAAACTGTGACTTTATTTTTCTGTAAATGATCCTTTATCTGATTTCTTTTTTGTCTGCTGCGGTGTCCAACAAGCAGAGAGCGCCCTCTGCCAGGTCGCCCTGAAGCTGACATTTAGGGAAACAGCTTCATAATGTGGACCAACCAAACTGTCTCAGAAGAATCAAACATCACCACAGGTTGTGTTTGAGTAAGAAATGAAGAAGAAAGTGGCGATAGAAGGAGACTGACTGAGGTAGAGGTCAAACCTTTCACTTCTATATCAAGCAACAAGTGGGATGCATTCTGAAATAAGATGGATGTAATTAAAGTGTGGAAAGCCCTGGTTCTGTTTTTAACATATCAACTTTAATATAAGGCAGTCTTCCTACTTTTTAGGGATAAATGAGAGAAATCGTGCGCAACTCTCAGGCAAGTACCGTTGAAACTGAAAGGAAAGTGTTTGTGTGTGTGTGTGTGACAGAGAGAGAGAGAGGGAGAGGGAGAGCATTCCTGCACAGCTCCAGGGTGATGAGGAGGTTAAGCCAGCCCCTCTCCGCCGTACTCTCTCGGTTGCAGCCCACCAGTCCAGCTGCCTCCAGTCCCAGTCCCACTTCACGGCGCAGCTGAGCGCAGAACAGTCATGGGCTCATCCAAACTTTAACTTTCAGCTCTTCTTGCTCTCCTCCCCCTCGCCTCTCCCGCTGAGCTCCCCATGAAAAGCTCCATTTGCAGCCGAGGACGCATGGAGATCTAATTTTGCCCCCCCACTTTTCGGTCAGTCGGTCAAGTCTGTGGAGGCTATTGTTGTTTTGCTGCTTCCTCGGTTTCATGGTCCACTCATGCGTCGGGAATGCCATGGCCACTCCGAGCGCACAGCAGCAGCACCAGGATTATTTCAGATCGGTGAGCAGCGAGTCCACCACCTACATGATGGTCCCAGCCGGCGGGCCGAGCGGGACCGGGCGCAAGGAAGCGCCGTCCAAGATGTGGGTTGCGATGGTGGTGATAGTGGTGGTGGTGCTGCAGATTGCGTCCACCACGGGGCTCTTTGTCTACCTGAACATGTCCATATCACAGGTAAGGGCTGCTTTCTGCTCGTTTTGTGCTGTATTTTTGAAACACATGTGGTCCTTTGTGGGGAGTCTTTGGCTTTCTGTGAGAGCCTTAATGGAAAGGCTTCGTTGCGCATCGAACAATTAAAGGTTGAAATCACACATAGTGGCGCCAGAAACAATAAGTCACTGGTCGATTTGTGCGCAATGCTTGCTGAAGTCGGCTCAAACCAAAATGTGAGTCACTGTTCTGAAAATCACCGCAGAAAGTTTGGAGGGGACGCAGTGAAACTCGGTTTGGGGAGTAATTCATTTCTGGAAGTTCACCCCCGCAGTTTGACTCGTCAGGCGCTTTGGAAAACAGCTCTGCCCTGAGTGGACTTGTTAAACAATGCGATCCAAAATTTACAAGCAATCAAGGCTGAGCAGAGAATAAGCAGCGCGTGTGTCCAGCTGCGTTTATCAAAAGAAACGGGTTAACGTGCGTGCGTAAAAGGAACATGTTGGAGTCATTTGGGTCGGAAGAAAGTGGACTCAGGCTGTGGCGCAGGGCGCCTTTTAAGTGGGTTACAGATGTGTGCAGAGGTGAAATATTCAGGTCAGGGATCGAGGTGGACTGTCTCCTGGGGTTTGAGTTAATTCATTTTTTATCTCCTGAAATATTAACATGGATGTTAACAGAAGTGCAGCAGCTGTGAACATATAAAAACCAAACCATTTGTAATACTCCTGCAGTCATCTTTTCTTTTTGGCTTATCTGAGCAGCTTAGGTTTATTTTTTGGTTGCCTGCTCTGACAATCAGTTCGCTCTGCTTCTGTCCCCGCTGCGGGGAAAGTTATTTTTCCTGCTGCAAAGTTAAACGTGCTACTCAGAGAGACGTCAGTGAATCAGTGAGATGTTGATCATTGAGCCCCAGCAGGGAAAGGACATGATGACAAGTGAACTCATTACTGCCTTGTTACAGCTCAGCGTGGGGAGGCTCACAGGACCGGGGAGATAAGCTTATCAGGAAGATTGAGACTCATTGTTTGGAGTGTTCCCTATTACATACTGTATCTGTCCTCCTCCTGTTCATATTGTGGATTTGGTGTGGAGGAAAAGCAATCCGACTGATGAATTAGGACTTAAAGGCACAACGTGTTGATATGAGGTTTTACAAACGGTTTCTGACAGTCTTCAAGGGAAACGTATTGGTCTTTCCATAAATCTGCAGGGAATCCCAGCAAGAGGCCCATTTAGGCAGGCGTCAGCGCTGCACCGTGCGTCTCTGGACGGAGCAAATGATGTACAATTTATACGCTTTCACAGCGACTTTCCATTCAGAACATGTGTGACCCCATTCACAGCATTAGAACCACCTGCCGGATATTGTCTCTGAAGCATCGGGTCACGGACGCAGGACCTCTGGAGGTGTTTTACACCTGGATCTGAGCAGCAGATCCTTTTGAGTTCTGTGGGCCGTGGGGCCTCCGTGGATCTGGCTGTTCCAGTGCATCCTGTGGTCGGGTCGGGATCTGGGGAGTTTCGGAGGCTGGGTCGAGGGCTTTGTTATGTTTTCCTGGGCAGTTTTTGTGGCACGGCGCTCTGTCCCGCTGGGGAAGAGTGCTGCTGTTGGGGAGGCGGCTGGTTTCCCAACAGAATACTGCACTGTCATGATTTGAGCCACGTAGTTCAGCTCACCGGTCAGCGGGTTTAGCGGTTAGGCCAGCGTTTACATTGATGGGGTCAAATCTGTGGCTTTTTTTAAAGGAAAACAAATGCAATCAAATTAGCAACAAGTAGAAACAACAGTTCAGGTGTCTTTTGCTGTTTTTTGTCATTTCAAATCACGTCAGACACTCGAGCTTGTGTGTCTATGAAAGGCTCTGACAGACAGTTGTGGTTGTTTCTGGGCTGGAGTTGATCAAAACTTCATAAAAGGGGAAAAAAAAAAACAAGAATAGCTCAGGGAGGAGAGATTTAGGTCAAATATAGTCGCAATAATATGAAACGATTAAAAAAAATAGAGAAATTCACATTTTTTTCTTTACTAATTAAATGATTTGTGTCTATTAAAACTGTGTCCTGCACTTGTGGGCGTTCAGAGAAATAAATCAGTGGTTTATACGTGACAGACAGGGGATCAAAAGCTATTTTATATTTATTATATGTACACATGAGTCTCAAACAGCAGAGTAGCTGCAGAACTTGGATGACCTTTTTAAGGCAAAAACACCAGCCAGATATAAATGTAGCACAGGACACATGGTGTTCTATAAATGTAATAATCAGAACGTCTGTCTCAGGAGTACTCGAGCTATTTCATTTTTATTCAAATATTGAATCGTCTATTTGTTCCTTTTATGGCCTTCGAGGCAGGGGAGGAGGAGATCCACATCAATAAATATATCAGACTTGGACTGTGTCTGCCTCCAGCTGCTAAGAAAGCAACAACTGTGCCTCAGTACGTTGAAGCACCGTATTATGTCAACATCATTTACACTAACGATGAGATAACAAGTGGATTTAAAGGCACGTTAGCGGGCGAACGGCCTAATTTATAACCGATTAGACTGATTTCGATCTTTCTTTTTTTTGAACGTGTCAGAGGTAGCCTGCATGAGGAATAGCTCAGAGATGATATAGGACTGGGACCAAATGAAAAACAGGGAGCTGTGTATCTGCATGTCGGGGAATCCCCCGGTTCTCATGCGAAGGCCAGCTATTTTTAATCTGGAAACAGGCCTCTCTTTGAATCGCGCCGGAGTCACAGCCCATGCCTGGCCGGTTAAAACAAAAGATATGTGCAACAATGAGCACGGCACAAAGAGGAATTGTCCAGCGTTGCCTCAGAGCTGCAGCATTCACACACAAACAAACACACACATGTGAACGCAGACGCTCCAGGTCCAGCCAGCGTACGTCCTGCTGCATGAAGCACATGATGCAGACTCACTTTACACATAAATATGTTTTGACTACGTAGCACATCAGTGATTGTAACTGCAGGAATAAATCTGCTGGCTGAGAGTCGCATGCCAAAGAGCTGCTACGAACTCAACACGTACGTCAAGAGCTGGAAATGATTAATACATCCACAGAATAGATCATCAACAGTCAATTAGGAGGTTGTGATGGTTACTTTTCTGCTTTTTCTTACATTTTATACACAATAAGTGTTTGTCACAGCTCTGTTTGACACTTTTCTGTTGCCTAATCTCAAGTAAAAATAAGAAAAAGTCTTTTTAGCTTCACCTGCCTCCATAAAACACTTCACTACCGACGCTTAATCGGGTCAACAGATTGAAGGTTTTGATCCGACGCACCTGGTGGGCAAGAACCTAAAAGAAACCAATTGAACTTTTGAAATACAGCTAGACATCAGAAAAAGGTTTCTTGTCATTTAAAGTGATTTTTTTTCACACCAGGAAGTTTCTCTTTCATGGGTTAAACTAATTAATTTACTTCCTAACAACACTTGCATTTAAATCTTCTTCATCCCTGTGACTGAGGAGGGAAAATAAACGGTTTTATTATTATCCCTGTTTTCCAGGGAATTAGTTAGAAACTGAATGTCCACAGTTTGTGACTTGTTTGATCACATGAGCCTCCGGATCTTTATCAGAAACAGTATTTTACTTTATTTTAAACTATTAAAACTGGTTGGTGTCCTCAGTCACCCTGAACAAGAGAACACAGATTCTGTGTTTGTTTTTTTGTTTTTTCCAGCTTTGCATGTACACTGGTTGCATTCAGGCCCGTTTCACATGTGTGACCATCAGGAATCTTCGTGCCATTTGTGTTCATTTGTGTCGATTGTGGGGCGTTTCTGTGAAATGTGTGCTCGTGTGTGTGCACATTCCATTCCTCACACTTCACTGGTCCACTTTATTATTGTTTGGGTTCACTGATAGGCTCTGACTCACCCTTACATGCAACAATAACCCCGGTGTGTGTGTGTGTGTGTGTGTGTGTGTGGTCTGATTTACACAGGGAGGTTCTCACTTCATGTCTGTTGGAGTGTGTGTAGATGTGTGTTAGCTCAGCCAAAAAAAGCTGCAATTTTGGGGGTTTTTTTGTGCAGTTTCAGTGAATTGTTCCTCTGATTTACCTGCATTCTGAGCAGACAGTATTCAAGCATGGGGGGAAAAATGTCAGTTTTCTGTGTTAGTTATCAGGTGAATCCGATGAGCGGTCCCAGTCCTCTGACGTTCCTGTATGTACATTTCAACAGCTAGAAGCGCTGCAGGAACGATGCCCATTTCTGTTACGTTTCTTAAAAGGAACGGCTGAGTTTACAAGTTTTGTGGTGTTTTCAGCACGGAAAAGCGCTCACAGTGCCAAGAATGGACGAGCCGCTCCAGATCCATGCAGAGGTGTGAAGATCAGCTCGTTAACTGATTGTATTCACTTTTAATAAATCGCAGCTCTAGAAAAGCGATGATGCTTTTCTGTCCTACGAGACGCTCAACTGAACGCTGTTGGGGTTTGGACTGACGGCGAGACAAAACCCGAGATTTAAAGACGTCACCTTGAGACGAGATCGTTAGCCGGGTTCTAGGCGGCGTTACAGATGGCAATAATAAACTGAATAATAAACAGAATAGGAGAAGGAGAAAACAAAGTCAAGTTGTTTGCAAACCGCTAGAAACCTCAAAGAAGAAGAAACAAACCAAAGTTTGGCCCTCAATGAGAAATAAAGTCCTCAGGAATTGTTTACAATCGGGAAAAAAATAGTAATTATTTTGTCATGTCAGCTGGTAGTGACCACGTTTCATGCCAGAGACAAAGACAACAAAAGAAGCCAAAACAGCTGATCGGTCATGAAGTTAAATGTTTTCTACATCAGAATTTATTTGAAAAAGGTGTTTCCATCCTCCATGAAGGGAATATGTTCTTTTTGAAAACCCAAAGTGTTCTTGAGCAATTGGTTATGGGTTTTTTTCATTTTTTAGTTTAGTTATTTTGCAAATTGGGCATTAAAATACGTTACGGGAAATGGCCTCAGTGTTTCTCCTTCTATTATATTGTAAGTCTTTTTGGAT